AAGTGTATACACGTTTGTTGTTGTTTTTTTGTTTTTTTTTAGAGTGTATAGTCGATCACAACTCATTTCTATCTGTCAATGGACGTATCACGTAACCACTGTAGGAAAAATTGGATGGCCTGGGGTACTTTAACATGCATCGCGAAATGTCAGGTCTCTTGAGACCACACTCGGGATTGCCAAGCTTTCAGGGCGAATTCAAGCTGCAAAGCTGCAGTGTGTCTGGCTTCAAACTATTTACAGGGATATTTTTAACCGCAAAAATGAACGATGAATCGCCGAACGCTCATTTTCCGCCCAGATGTAGCGCTAGAAGTCCAAAATAGATGTCTAAGTTTCAACACGAACCGATATCTTATTTAAACTTTGTAAGGGATTTTCTAAAATTTTCAGTCGGAAAATGGGTGCCCATTTTCGCTTGTTTTTGGTTCCTGGCGCCATATATAGAGCCCCATGTCTTCCAGAGCTCCGCGCAACCGCCATTTTTTCATTGAAATTTGCAGAAAATCACTTATAACTTTTGGATAAGATAGGAGTTAGTGCTGAAACTTTGGCAGTTGGTTCTGAGCTCCAACGCTACATTGGAGTAAAAAGTGAGCGTTCGGCGACGCGTAGTTTATTTTTGCGGCAAAAAAAGCAATAAAATACTTGATAATTGTTTTTTTTTTTTTTTTTTGGGGGGGGGGGGGGGGGGGCACCTTTATACTTGGGTGTATTAGCAAGAGCAACCCTCTCCCTGGTGCTTTTCGCTCGGACTGGTGCAATACGTAATACACAAATTAATCCCGGCGAAACAAGCGGTATATGGGCTTCGGTTTAGCCTCTGTGCTTTCGACTCCTTGTTTTGATAGGCTGCGTACTCTGGCAAAGTAAAGCGCTACACGCCAATCTAATTGGTTGAGCTTTCCTTCTTATTTTATGCTCTACCTTGCGCTTATAAGATCATGTGGTTTGTTTACAGCGATCTAACGTTTCCTTTGCAGTTTCTGTCTCCATAGTCCTTTCATCCCGTGAGTACAGTCCCTGTCTCTCCGCAAGCCATGTGTATCGTATATTCGTATGTTATATTTCTCCCGGAGAATGTTTTTTTGGCCGCGGTGTTTGTTACTGATTGCTGTATGACCTCAAGCAGTAAACCAGATAGGCAAAACTTGTCCATCCGTCCTCAAGAATTGTTTTATAAAATAATAAGTATCCAGTACTCGTGCGTTCACAAAGAAAGCACTTTGATACTATTGGTAATAGTTACAAGTCGTAACTATAGAGTACACTGTCAGTCAATCTCGCCTCGTGCTCGCCCGGACTGCTGTGCGGCCTTCAATGTTTTGTCACGAAGCAAATAAGACCGTCCTCCTCTTCTCCGTTGATGGAAGATGCTGATATTAACAAATACAACTTTTTATTTAAGTGATAGGATATAAAATCTTTACAACAGATATGGCCAATTCGTCATTAAATGTTGGGGGGAACAATCCTAACCTCTGGAAACTTTCCCTGCCGTCCTCCCTGACCACACACACCCTCAGCGGGGGCCCCGACCACAGCCAAACTCGACAAACACAGTTCCACACAAAGGCGGGCGAGCCGAACTCCTCCACAGCCGTAAGGGGGACCAAGTTTGCGAGCTAGCGGGCGGACGGCTCCACAGCCGAAGGGGGGGTCGGACGTGCAGGTTGGCTTTCAAGAGGCAGGGAGATGTTCACGGCTTGGTATCCGGGGGCCAAATTCTTAAGAGTCCTTCGGTGGCCGCTTATATTCAGTTCACCATCATTCTGGGCTCCTCCAGTCCACCAATCAGAACGTTTGGGAAGGACCAATCAAGAGGGGTTTTCTTAGCACCAATCAAAGGCTCGGAGCCTAAAGCAAATACGAACATTCCAAAAACAAGCGCATATACGAGACAGAGCACATTCCAAACGAAGCTCACAAGAGCAGCCATAAACAACAGAAAGCACATACGTACGTAGACAGAGAAGTTACACATACACAGCGCAAAACCACCTCCGAAGTAGATATCCCAAATGCAAACAAACACAAGACAAAACGTTTCCAACGCGGGGTTCTGAAAACTATAAGTGTAGCGTTACAGCGTTCACGTTCTCCCCCATTTGGGGTCCCCCGACCCCGGCAGAGGCCATGAGCCGTGCCGTAAAGACGAGTGAACCCCCGAAGAACGCCAAAAACAAAGTAAAGCTGTATACTAAAAACTCGCGCGAGCAAAACTTCGCGACACCTTCCCATTACGGAAAAAGAGTGACCTCACTCTTAAAATGCACATACAAAATTCGGAGCTTTTCCATCTTGAAGTAAGCGTGCACACACTGTCTTAAACATAAAAATTAATGTCAAGCTGTTACTCCAACGAAACGCTACTTCGTTTACAACATACACGATATCAGAAATACACAAAAAACTTACGTGTCTTTTAAACAGAACTCACAAAAAAACTATCTGGGTAAAGGTAATAACAAACATCTTCACAAGGTCAGGCACATGGTTATTCGAAAACTAATCAAGCCGCAGTCCATCATGTTGTCGCTTTAGAGAGTTCTTCAAAATTCGAAATGATAAATGGGAATGTTCTCAGAAGCAGTAGTCACTTCCCTCGACGTTCAGAAAACACATTTTCCGGTGATAATTTTTAGTAGATTGCATGCGAGGCCGTAGTTGTCGGAAGTCTGAATCATTATGTCACTTGTCGCGCCCTGGATAAACTCTAGCTCTTATTTAGAAATCGTCCCTCTCTCGCGTGCAGCAAAACATCGGGGTGGTCCGCCGTAAGTACCTGACTGGACCGAATCCACCAACAAAATAACTTGCACACAAGGAGCAGTATTCGAGAGCTCTCACTGTTGTCATTGCCCAAAACACAGCCATTTATATTGGCTAAAATCGAACTCGTCACTTTGACGGTTCACACGTCCCTCCATCCTTTCTTAAGTATACTCAATATCGGGGTAGTCCGCCGTATTGAACCTGACTGGACTTGGTCCCACCGAAAAGGAGAGCCACCAGAGTAGGAGGAGAATTTGCGCAATTACCGAGCCCATCCAGAGAACTCGCGCCATATTGAACATGACTACGATTTCTGGGGGCCCGAGGCGCTATAAAACAAAAAGGCAATGACAAGAATACATTGTCGAGCTCAACTCTCTTTTCTATCTACACAGCAAATACGTTCTTGAGTTTGACACTTTCTTCTATATACACAACAAGGGCAACGCATCAGCGACAAAATACAAGTTATTTTGAGTCGAGGAAGTTAGAACGAAGGCGGGATTTTCAAGCGACGACAGAGTTCGAAAGTTCGAGGTCGTATTAGTCGAAGAGGCACTCGGTACTTTTTGCAGTGTTTTTGAAGCGAGCACGGTGCTTCACAAGGAACGGATGGCAGTTTTGTAGTGGACGAGCAGTTCTTACTTGAATTTGAGGAGGAGTTTCTGGGAGAGTACCGAGAGTTCCGGAAAGCACCACACAGGCGAGAATTGCCAGAGTGAGAAGACCGACGGGGGTGGTCATGATGGATTTACCCTGGGATGTCTCGGCGTCTCAGATGCCACGGTGAGTCCGGACGCAGCGAGGAAGTTGTTCTTGCCTCTGCATCAGGGTCCTAGGGTGATCTCCATGACGTCTTGGCATTTTGTAGCTTGAGGCACGAGCCATTTGGCGATTGTAGCAATCGGTCGTACCCCGCACACTCCACCACTTTTGTAACGTAGAAAATAAGAGGTGTCTTCTTCTCCGTTGTTGATGAAACGTTTACTGAGGTTAACAAACACAACTGTTTATTTAAAAGATAGGATATAAAATCTTTACAACAGATATGGCCAATTCGTCATTAAATGTTGGGGGGAACAATCCTAACCTCTGGAAACTTTCCCTGCCGTCCTCCCTGACCACACACACCCTCAGCGGGGGCCCCGACCACAGCCAAACTCGACAAACACAGTTCCACACAAAGGCGGGCGAGCCGAACTCCTCCACAGCCGTAAGGGGGACCAAGTTTGCGAGCTAGCGGGCGGACGGCTCCACAGCCGAAGGGGGGGTCGGACGTGCAGGTTGGCTTTCCAGAGGCAGGGAGATGTTCACGGCTTGGTATCCGGGGGCCAAATTCTTAAGAGTCCTTCGGTGGCCGCTTATATTCAGTTCACCATCATTCTGGGCTCCTCCAGTCCACCAATCAGAACGTTTGGGAAGGACCAATCAAGAGGGGTTTTCTTAGCACCAATCAAAGGCTCGGAGCCTAAAGCAAATACGAACATTCCAAAAACAAGCGCATATACGAGACAGAGCACATTCCAAACGAAGCTCACAAGAGCAGCCATAAACAACAGAAAGCACATACGTACGTAGACAGAGAAGTTACACATACACAGCGCAAAACCACCTCCGAAGTAGATATCCCAAATGCAAACAAACACAAGACAAAACGTTTCCAACGCGGGGTTCTGAAAACTATAAGTGTAGCGTTACAGCGTTCACGTTCTCCCCCATTTGGGGTCCCCCGACCCCGGCAGAGGCCATGAGCCGTGCCGTAAAGACGAGCGAACCCCCGAAGAACGCCAAAAACAAAGTAAAGCTGTATACTAAAAACTCGCGCGAGCAAAACTTCGCGACAGTTTGATGCTACAGTGTCTGGCATCTCGATCGCGCGTCCCCAGCTTCGAGCGCGTTTCTGGGCGACTCAGAAATAGCTGCCAGCTTTTGATCTCATGTCTCGAAAGACTGGATGGGGGACAATCTTTTAGTGCACTTAATAATATTTTGTGAGGGTTTGGAGTTATTCATGATTCTCCTAAACTTCACACCCGATTCGACTAGGTTATCACATAGCGCTGGGAGTGCTCCTCATTTGATTTAATTTGTCCCAAGCGCTCTCTTTCTGGATAAAGTCAGATTAGAGGCCTCTGAGGACCGCGGTGCGATGCTGATACTTATTCGGTGAGCACGTGCTTACAATTATTAAGTTGTTTTCTTTTTTTTTCCCCCGAGATAGAATAATGTCGTACAATGTGTGGGTAATTCGTTCTCTGTCTCGAGAAAACATTTGTTTTTTCTTTGTTTTTTGTTTTTTTAAGACGAGAAGCACTCTCCTTGATAGTTTGAGACTCGGGTACATAAGGTGAAACAATGCCGCCTGACAGGATATACCGTCAGCTAACAATGGGTACAAAGTCCAGCAGCACACAATGCGCGGAGGACAAGCGATACGACTGACCAAACAAGCAAATTCTCGGACGTCCGCAGGGGAAGACCCGTGCATGTCGAACGACACCGGCGGGTGCGAGAGATGGTGCCGGCATAAGGGCACCAAGTTCGGTTCCTGCACCGGTGGGGCTTGCAGCTGTTCGAACGTCCCTTCGATCGCGCGCACAGGTACGTTTACGGGCCTAAAGGCTGGAAACACGAGTGCGAAAACTCTACCGAAAATCGCACAAAAATTCGGTAAATCTGGAACTCGTTTCGTTCTATATTTGAGTAACCAGGACATTCGCTGCATGCTAATAGTGGAAGATGCGGTTTCGTTTAAAAGCATATTCCAGAATTGTGTGCAAAAACTTCCAGCCTAACATTCGTTTTTTTTTTTCGTTGTTAAAAAAATAAAAGTAATGTTGGGCTTTTTTTTTTCTTCTTTTTTTCCCCTAGGTTTTGAAATTTGTGCGATTCCTGCCGATTCGTGGTCTTTGCATATCTCTCACGTCCAGTCTTGTTAGCATTCATGATTGACCCAGCATTTTTAGATACTGCAATTTCTGGAGGCCTTGATAGCGAACGCGCGTGCGCACCACGAGAGGAACTTTTTTTTTTTTTTTTTTGTGAAGTGATTGGTTAGGACAGGTGTGTAATATAATAAACTTTCCCAGAAAAAAAAAAAGAAAAAGGTAGCGTAATTTTTATGTTGCGAGACAGAATTTGAGTTAGGAGCAATTCTGATATTTATGCACGTCGACCCGAAACGGCAGCATGGTTCTGAATTGCTCCTACGCATAGAGCGAGTCGTCTGCTTTTTTCGTAGGGAAAAACGGTGACGTCAGAACAACGCCAATCTCTGATTGGCTTTGATTGAAAGGATGTGGACCTCTACGCTAGATGCCTTGAGGTATACCCACTGTTTTCTTTTCGATCAGCCAATAAGAGCTCGGCGTTCTGACATCATGATAGCCCCTCTGCAAGAATCAGACGAACTTGCGCTCCAAATAAAAACACCGACCCCCCCCCCCCCAAAAAAAAAAAAAAAAAAACAACATTTATAAGCATTTGGTTTGCACTTGGATTCTGTCATGTCTGCATCAAACAAAGTATCTTTCGGTTGATGCACAAGCAGTCTGACTGCGGCTTTAAGGCCCGTTCACATACTTGCAACCCCTTTAGACCGACAGCCTTGAAACCTCTTAAAATCTCTTACGACGAGAGTAAGACGAGAGAACGCACTGGCGCCATCTATCGGATAGCGGTGGAACACTTGGCTCTCCCGTGTAATTCCGACTTCTTTCGCGCACCATCCTTTTTTTTTTTTTTTTTTGGCTTAAAAAATCTCCTGTCAGTGCTATAATCGACCATTTCTCCTAACTATTCGACCTCGAAAATATTGCAAAAAACCTTCGCTCTGGTGAAATGCAGTTCCAGGGTCCCCACGTAGATGGCGCAAGCGTTCCAGTGAGTTCTCTCGTTGTAAAAGATTTTAGGAGATTTTCAGGCACTCTGTTCTAAGGAGTCGCAAGTGCGTGAACGGGCCCGCAGGGTCCGAAAGACCTGTAGCTCTCAAGTTAGGGCAGCGCCTCTGACGAGCAAAGCTTAAAATTATTTTGGCGCGTTTTAGTTGTGAATTTTTACTTTCTTTTTTTTTTTTGCGCGGGCGCTATGTTTGCAAGATTAGAATCGTGGATATTACTCCGTAAAAAAAAGTTACAATGAAATAATTTTTATGATTTTGAAAGGACACTAAAAGGGCGAGCTGAATGTTTCTTTAATTTAATATTGGTTTAGATCTTTTAGTCGCTTGTTACTGCGCGTAGACAGTTGCGGGCACACGCTTGTTAACGACCGTGACTGACCTCGTGCATCATCGAAAGCTACAGTGCCGCTTTTTGCAAGCATTACATGGTCGCGTTTTACGAACGCGCTCGCCCACCCGGGCCGAGAGAAACAGGCCTACAACGGGAGGCGTCGTGGATATTGATTCGTACTCTCTCTCGCCGGCTATCATGTTCTCGTGGCCTGGTCGGCATGGTTAGTAACCGGTGGTAACCGGCACAGTGCTACGCTTAGTGCCGTGGAGAGGGCACAGTGGAAAGGCCTCGTAGTGAGGTAGTGTTCATCTGCGTCCCCACGCTCGCTTCCTGTAAATGACGTAGAAGACATAGACCATGGTCTTGATATCTGGGAGCTGTTAGTAGTGCCCCCTCATAGCCCAGTGTACCTGACAGGTTCATCTTCGGGCCTTGGTGCAACGACAAATCATTTGCACAACTGATCTGTCTTAGGGTGCCTAGATGTAAGAGAGTGACCAACTGAAACCGTGGAAAGCGTTTGCTTTTGAATGGTGGACGCCTTCTGGGAAGATAAGTTGCGAGTGCGCGTGCGCGATGTGGAGGCAAAGACGCTAGCAGGCGACCACAGCTTTCCTTGCCTCCTCGCAGACGGTGTTGCAAACATGGTCCATACACCAAGTTGACGCTGATCGATCAGTCTGAAATCTCGGCGCTCTACTCTGTCCAGGAGAATCGGACGACCCCTGTCGGCGGAAAGACCAGATGGAGTGCAGCGTCAGGTGCCTTAAGGTGGACTACGTGTCCGGTCACTGTTTGGGCCGCGTCTGCCACTGCATGAAGCACGACAGCCTTTATCCGGGCCCAACACTCTCAGGTTGCTTCTTCGCCCTAGAGCCGGTCTATAAGCTATGCTTAGGGTAGTGCCACGATATTACCCGATTACCTTGTGGGTGCCGCCACCGTTTTCGTGATTGGTGCCGAACGGGCGCAATCGGCGATAGTTACCCTTTTAAAATTTGTATTTCCTGAGCTCTGGACACTACGTCAGGAAGGGCACGGGATGTTGTCGCTGATGGAAATAGATAGGCAAACGCAAATCGAAAAATAAAGGTTTAATCGGCGAACGTCTGCCAGAAACAAAAGAAAGAACGAGCGTAGGGAAAGCGCAGCGACTGTGGAGGTGTCGTCATGACAGCTGGTTAGCGCGAGAGTTTCTTACTCGGCAAGGCCACGTTGAGCTCCTTATCTACTGCACTCGGTATCTCGAACATTCCTTGTACAATGTTCGAGCGTCGAACATTCGGCGTAAGAGTAAACAGGAATCTTCTAAAAATATAGAGTAGCGTTCCCTCTTGACCGTGCACGCCGCAATATCGCTTTGCTCTGCTGCGGACTGCTTTAACGTTTCCGCGGCATGGAAAAGTGTTTCTTTGAGATTTGATATAAAGGTTCAGACAAGGGAAAACAATGGCTACTTTAAGTGCCAAGATTGCTGAAGTGTCGGTACTCTGCAGCGTAGCGTATTCAGTGACTCTAGTACCTACTTAAAAAATATGGTGCGAGTACTTGGCCGCAAGGCACTTCATACCGTGGTGGAGCCAATCGCTTTAATTTACGGTGGGAGCTCGGCGAAGGGCGATGCTCAATATATATCTAGAATAACACCCAAATAGTCTACACTAACACCTAGTGTGAGGGTTCACGTGCCTACGTAACATTTATATGTTAAGCCTCTTCATTCATTAAGTTCCCTCCATAATCAACGAACAAATTGGAGCTTTTTCCAACCCGTTCGTGGAATCTATTAAACTAACGAAAGCAACATTATTTCTCTAAATACATTTAAACTCTTATGTGGCATTCATTCAGTCCCAGTAAATAAGCTTCAAACTAATGACACTTCAGCTATTGGATTGAATTTGATTGTACCTTGTTGCCTATTGCCCTTGTATCGGGTTGAACAGAGTCTGTGCTCAGCTCCAGCCAAACTTGGCCCTTAAGATTATTGTTGCCAGTTGTCTGAAGCTTTATTTTAAATTGTGGGAAACGGTTTTCTGTCCTCTAGAAGTGTTAAAACAGTATCTGCAAAGGGGGGGGGGGGGGGGGGGGGCCGGGGCAAGATATATCGTCTGAGCATTCCGTGACCAGAACGCAGAAAGTAAGCTTTTTGGAATCGTAACGATCGATGAATTGCACCTGCAATGCACGAAGCACGAAAATGACGAAGTAAATCGGGGATTGGGCTGCCAATGCTCTAAGCATAGCATATGTATTTAGTGGCTCTATAGTTCAAAGGAAGCCCGTCCCACCCCTGTTCACTTAAGCAGAGCGAAAGCTGGAGAAGAGGTCGCCTTTTCTCCAGCGTTCCCACTGCTAAGGTGGAAATGGGTGGGAGGAGCCTACCCTGAACTCTTGACCTGCCACCGACTATAGAGTGTACGAGACAACATTCTGCAACATTCTTTGCAGAGCTCGGCACGCGGCAAGTGGCCGGTGCGCCGACTAAGAGAGAAGCAACCCCCGAGAGGCTACCCTCGAATGATCAGACGGATAGAGGGGCGCCCAAGAGGAGCCCGGTTGTTGAGCAGGTGAGCGACACGAGCAAGAAGAGAGGCCATGACACGTCGTATCTGACGTCTTTGCTATTCTATTCGGAGAGGAACTGAGGGAGAGGAGAATATGAGAGCGCGCTGTGTCGTCAGAGCGCCCAGCTCTGATTGGAAGGATTAGGGGGTAGATGCAAAGGCTGGCTGCCCTTGCCTCTATCCGCGATCTCTCTCCAATCGGAACGAACAAGCGCAGGGTTTAGCGATCGAAATTTCGATGCCAGACCCTGCACGAAGAGCAGACGACGTTCTTGTTTGCAAACCAACCTAGGACTAAAAGAACCTTAGCGAAAGTTCTCTTTGTTAAAAATTCTGGATCCCTCTGAAGAAACAACTAAAGAAACCCTGTGTATGTGAATGTATGATATATTAAAGACATGTAATCAAATACGAGCACATGAGCAAAGAATAAAGTAACCCAGAAATAGGCTTTCCATTTGCGTCAGGCAACTATGACTGTGGCTGTATACTTTGCATGAAAGAGTTTTCTTTTTTTAATATAGCAAGTTGTTGTTTATAGCTTGAGACAAAAGACCTAATCAACATTTGTTGTCTGCTAGCTGTCAACTTACTTAAATTTACGAGCGTTAGACGGATCCGAAAGTTCGCGAGGGACATAATTCAAATTTGCTCGGGTTAGCATTCTCCGTTCCTTGCGTTGCTAAGGATTCATGACAGTCAAAACAATTCTAATTCAGTTGAGTCCCAGGAACGGCCTATATAAATTTGTACAAGCTTGTACGACTATGTTGGAAAATAAAAAGGAAAAAAAAAGGTATTGAGAACTGTCGTTCAAACTCCATCTACATTTTAGTGACAGCAGTGAATTGGCTCAGACGTATGTTTACTTTTTATTCATTTCGTAGTTTACGTATTTTATGAGCTAGTGCACCTTGGCGGTTGGCAGCCGGTACATTAAACGAAAACAAATGGACTAATTACTAAACAAATAGCTTAAGTTTCTGGAGCCTTGTTTCTTAAATTGTGAACTTGAAAACACAAGAAAGACAAGGGGAGGCCTTTCGTGGGATAATATAACGGTAAAGCTTAAAATTCTATTCGCAAGAATATTATTACTCAAAATATAACTTGATCTATTTTAGGTCATAATAGCTAGAAATTAAAAAAAAAAAAAAAAAAAATACTGCTGCCCTTTCACACGTTGTACAAGCTAAAGTAAAATCTTCTTAAAACAAAATAAAATTACTCGTTTACTTATCAAATAGGATTTGGGGGTGTGTGAATTTTATGAGACCCTCTACTAAACAACTGCATGTGTATAAACAGGACTCTGTTCACCCTTAAGCTGTTCGGCCAAAGCTACAAGCGTGAGGTAGCCCACACACTCTGCTTTGAGACGTGCCTTTCGAGTGCGAGCAATCGTTTTGCGATAGAACGTTTCAAAGCCGACATATGTGCACGCTGTTGCGCGTGTAACCTTAAGGCCCGTTCACACAGTTGCGTTCGGAGCGACCACTACGCTTACGAACGAATGCAACCGGTTGGAGCGACAAGTTACCATAGCAACGAAGCGCCAAACGGTCGTTTCGTTCGTGTTCGTTCGCAACGCAAGGAGTTGAGCCGGGCTGAACTTTTTCGTTACGTTCGGGAACGACGGGAGCGACAGACCAATCACAGGTCAAGGAGCTCGGTCGCGCGCGTTGCATGCCGGTCGTTCCAGGCTCCTTCTATTTGCAAACATGGCGTCGGTGGTGATCGTCGGCAGGACGGTGTGGTGAAGGCTCATCGTTCCCCGTAAAAGGGCTATCCTTGACTGTGAATTTTCGTCTTGTGTCGTTAGGATAACCCAGCACGTACTAGAAGGGAAGGCTTGGCTTGGCTTGGCTTTTGGCTTTTGGGCCGGGCAAATTGTGTATTTATACAGGTTTCAGTGCCAATAAAGCTCAGTTGTAAGTCAGCGCTGTGTGTGTCTACCGCCTTCTACTCTGTCCTTGTCGTTGCGCTGTTTGTTTTCCGCTAATATGAATGACCAACTAGCCCAATCGTCAACACTATAGAAGGGAAGATCCACCTACTTGTGCGGCGATCTCGTGGCGGCACTCTCAAGACAGCAGAAACGCCCGTGCCGTCGTGTTTGTTTACTTCGACTACAGTGGTGCTTTCTTAGCATTTGTGTCCTCGAACATCACCCGGATTTCTTTTTTGGCGCATTCCTTGCGTGTGCTCAAGTTCAAGGTATTGCTGGTGCGTACCGTACTAAGGATGCGAATTTTTTACTCGTTTTCATCGCCCGAAAAAGGTGATTAGTGTTAGCAATCCTGAACACTCGCATCGTCTGTCAAATTATATTTCTACGTTGCTATATCGTTGCTAAGATTACATCGTCTTTTATAATCGTAAAAAAGGCGTGTGGCGAGATTTGTACTGTTGGCAAAGTCGTGTATTAATGTCGTGATCGTCCAAGACGGCGTACTGCATCTTTTTGTTTTTTTAATGCACTACCCTGCAAGCGTATCCTGAAATAAAGAGTAATAAAGCTTGAGGTCATAGAAGACGGACTGTCTATTTTCTGTTACGCAAGTGAGTGGCAGCGCGTCCCCTTCTTTTTGGAGGCACCGCTGAAACAGCTGACGGCAACGGAGAGGCGGTCGCCGTGCTGCCGACCCGCTGCGCTTGTTGCAGTGGTAGCAGGAGTGTACGCGCGGCGCGGAGCGATCGTTCCGGTCGCTCTGGTCACAACGGACGCAGTCGCGGATAACGGGTTCGTTTTAGATGTCTGAACCAGCCTTTACACAGCTATTGTAGGCGCACAGCAGATCTTCGTGACTGTACGCCGTAGCCGAACCCTCGGGCTGCTCCGGTGAGGACCCCGCTACCCCGCGTCGGGCACGAAACCGTCCGCCATGTTTGTAAGTGTAGCTGGGTCGCTTCCTATTGGCTAGGAGCAAGAGCTGAAGCTCGTTTCTCATTGGCTGTTGATTCGTGTGGTTGCATGCGGTTGCATGTGTGTGTACACGTCGCGCACTGTTGTCGTTGAAGTCGCAGCGGTTGCATTCGTTCGTAAGCATAGTGGTCGCTCCGAACGCAAATGTGTGAACGGGCCTTTATTTACGTTACTGTTTATTAATTTGGGGGACTACCTCAAAAACAAGTATAGAAAAAAGTAATACTATCACAGAGAATAGCAATTCGATGCATCGAGCGTTTCAGTTATTATGAGCATACAGAGTCTTATTTTCCGAAGCATCGGGTACTATCAGTGTATCAGGTACCTTACCAAATTAATTTTTTTCGTAATTAAAGAACAGACAACGATGCCTTTTTTTTAGTCAGTTAATAAAACGTGATATTGCACGCAACTTACGACGTGTCCCAGTCCAATTAAATGCTACAAAAATACGTACGACAAGCTATATGTATACGGTAAACAAAGCCCAACGCACCAAATCTCCCGAATACTAAACCGACACCCACAAAATGTTTTATATTATAAAAACGAGTTTCATTGTCATTAAAAAAAATTACTTTACTTTTAATGTAAATATGAATGTTGCTTGAAAGAGTAAGACACTTTTAAACAGATTAACGACTGGGGTACGACGAAGATATCACTACATTACGAACACAACAAATGTGTACCGCTAAATTGAGTCGACGAGAAAGCGCCGGAAACCAGAAAAACTCTGCTACTACATTTTAATAGTGCGTTTCTGTTTTTATTATTTCAGTTTCACGAGGACAAGGGTACGTATGTCCTCAGCTAATTTATTAACGCCTATGGTCGCTGGTAGCTTAAGAAACTAAAGTCTTGACTTATTCTGCTCACGCTCCTCGCTTCGTGGTTCGTCCGTTGACGTTCATATATATCAGGGGATGCCGCAACTTTATTGGCTGAGAAGCAATAATAAAATGCTCTTTTCCAAGGTTCCGGAAGCAGTCCTTTAATAAGAAGAGTCTGCACTGCTTTTATATCATGTATATTCATTGGACACCATTGTTGAGCTCGTTGTTTACAGGGCGGAGCGAACTCCCCACTTATCGTCTGCGTGCCCAAAATCAACAATCTCGACTGAAAAGATGCACGTCACGGAGGTATCGTGCAATCTCAGTCCCGAATTCAGGAACAGCAGATTCGGTAGTGGTAGTTCGTGAATGCCGCATTTTAGTTGAATTGTATTTGGAGAAATACATGTACTGCCTTTGGTCTAATGGATCTACGAACAAATTGGTTACTTTGAAGGTACAAAATTCCTAACTCCGATAATTGGTGGAGAGCATTGGATGTGTGCCAAGCCCGACGTAAAGCAGACATATATCTTTTTTTTTTTACATTACGAATAGGTAATATAATACATATGAAATATTAGTTTCTGCTATTCAATTACTGCGCGAAAACATTTAATGTACAATATATTAATAGTTTTTGTCTGCTTTAGAAAAGTTTCAGGGGAGTGCAGTTGCAGACGATATGGAAAAGCCCAGGCGAGCGCGTGGCTTAGGAAGCCTGCAGTGCCATCTATCGGAAGAACGCTCAATCATCATCGAGGCTTGAGCAGCTGTTCAATTTTGTCGCCACTTCCCGCTTGATTAGTAGCTGTCGCTGCGTTAAAGGTCAGCGCCGAACGTAGAGGAATTCCGCGACGAGTGCCAAATCAAGCGTGAATAAAAAACCCGGGTTGACAGTTTGAGCTATGAGGAGAGCATGTCGTCTGCTTATAGAGCAGGAGTTGCGGCGACGTCAGAACGACGCTGAGCTCTGATTGGTTTTGATTGAAAGGGTAGTGGGTAGACCTCAATGCTAGAGGCCTTGAATTGTGCCCACTATTTTTTTATTTTTTATTTTTTTTGCATCATCACAATTCTTTTGCAAGACGCAGACGAACCTGCGTTCCGCATGATTTTCAGACGTATGATAAGTTCGCGCAATGAATGATGATAGACGGTCTTTATTCTATTTGACTGAGCACTACTACTGTCGGTGTTGGCTCAGCAATCGTTTGCCGACCAAATCGAGAGAAACGGCAAAAATTATACTGCTGCTGAAATGCCGCTCGTTCACACAATAACCTTGATAATAGCTCAGCTATCTCCCGTTAGAT